AGATTGAAGGTCTTTGTTCGTAAATTTACGTCTGAACTCCTTGGCTTCCTTGACAGAGTTGTAGCCCAAGAAACCGAGGAGGGGATAATATACTGCATACCAACAAAAGATAAGAGTTACAAACAGTTGCTCCATATATAAAAAAAAAAAAAAAAAAATTCGACATTTTTATTGGCCAAACTTTTCTTACCGGGGTCAAATTTCGATGTCGTGACTCCCAGAGATAAACCGGCCACTTCAAGTTTCGAGTCTACTACAAGCTTGCGATAATCCCTCTCTGCTTTATCCAAACCGGCCAAGGTTATTAACTTCCCACCGAATTCCGGACTTAACTTCGGTTCTTTTTGCTTCGTCTCTTTTTCTACAACAGAGTAAAAGTTCCGACCTGTTAGTACACAGAACAATACGAGAATCAGACAAGTATATCCGAATTGAAAAAAACAGAAAGTAAACTCACTGGCTCCGGAATGAATTAACATGGGAATTGTCATCCCATCAATCCGGCGCTCATGAAAGAAGTCCACCGACTGCCATTCTCCGCCTATCCACACCCATTCCTCCTGGAAACCGTGGAGACTTTCCGGAATCTCAGTTACAATTTCCCCAACTTTAACACCATGTTGCGGTTTCGCCTCGGCAAAAAAGCAACAAGACGACTCGGCCACCCTTCTCTTCGGACTTTGTTTAAATGCAAAAATACTCCTCATCTCATCGCACGAAGGAAGTCCTTCACCCCTCTCGTGCAGCAACACCATCAATCCGATTATCTTTTTCCAGCTATTCGGCGTGATTTGGCACAACGGTAACCCCCAACTCCGGAGGTATTCCGTGATCAAGTTTGGCAACGGGAACCTTAATCCCGACCTCAGACTCTCCGCGAAAACGCCCACGCAACCCGGAGGGGGACTTGTAATTCTCTCCCCGGGATAAGGAGCAAAGATTTTCACCGAGGGGGGAATCCGAACTTGTTCTCTCAACATGACGACGTCAGCGTCGGTAAGAATACTTGGCTCGCCAATGAAATCAATCGCCGGATCGGGCCACCTCCTCACCGGTCTTCTCCAATGAGGCACCGCGAGGTCGGTTGCATTATGCTCAACTACCAAGTCACCATCCTCGTCGTTTAACTGGATATTCAAATGTCTTACCAACGACGGGTCCCACCGGTGGTATTCAAAGGCCAACTCGACCAATTCCGAATCGTGATAAACATCCAACGGAACCGACTCAGTGCTCGATGAACTTGCCACCGCCTTTCCCTTTCCTTTCGACGCCATCGTACGATTGAACGAAATACGAGAGAAATAACAAAAGAAGTTGAAGAAAAAGCTTACCGAAAATCTCGCACACAGCAAGCAAGGAAGATTCTTCCGAATATCAGATGAACTCAAACAACAAGTGATATAAAAGCTCGAAAATAAAAGCACAGGTGAAGAAAACCCGATCAGATATCGCTAAACCCTATTTATAATCGCCAATTTATGACCGTTGAGTATCTTCATTGGGGGCGCGTCGAACCGACGCGACCCCTAATTCTAACCGACGCCACTTCTTCATCTGATAAGACACCTACTGTTACACGTGGCTGCCTATTAAAGTCGACCGTTACCTCATTAAAGACCATTACGGCGCGACCGTTCGGCCTAAACATTTACTCGTTGACCGTTACGACCGCTCACTTCTTCTGTCATAACTGCTTGAAGATTATCCGAAATTCACAAGTGTCTTCACCTCGGAATACAGTCTCCACCTCGGACAGATGACTCACTTCAGTTACGTCGGACACTAAAGACCGAAGATGACCCTCCGAAGACCATAGACCATGTCCTACCGCCGACTTCTTACCGATCCAGGGCCTCTAAATATCTGACATAGCAACATCAACGACCATCACTTCGTATGCCCATCGATGTTGGGGGCCTCTCTGTTAACATCCGGATCGGTAAACCTGCATTAAGAAATTCCAGATGACACATTCGAAGGAAGATGATCATTGAACCGACGTTATTACCAACACCACCCCGGTTCAGGCGACAGACCGGACCGAACTACCGAAGACCGAGGTCAACATCCACCGAGGTCAACATGAACCGAGGTCGTCACCTCCTTAAGCAGGTGACAAGGTGCCTACGAGTGACTCTCCTGCTCCACAAGATCTGTCATCATTTATGTGGGACCCCCTGCCTCAAACCGCCCATAAAAAGCCACTTTATTCAAAAAAGCAATGCACGGATCCCCATGTATCAACCCGAAATTACTATAAATAGTGCACCCATGGCATTTGTACGGGGATCTATCTCTCTCCGAACTGAAAAAAACTTTACTAAGCAACACGTAAAAGCCCATCACGGCTCTTCACCTCGGTTCACCTCGGACCGAGGCCATTGTCGATTTAATCTTACATGCTTTACGTCCAAATCATTCGAAATTATTCACTTAATCACAAGTTACATCGTTGTTAAAAATCACATAACAAACAATTTCAATGGTACTTTAGTATCCAATATCGCGTCTTCAATACCAATTCCAACGAACATAAAAAAAAAAAAAAACATTGAATTTCGGTATTTAATGATGTTTATATTGCTCAAAATCACTTATGCATTATTTTCTATGAGTATTTGAATTGTATAATTAAGTTTACTTGACAAGTGGTCATGAACTCAATAGAACTTTAATTTTAAAATTTAGAATATTTTGATTTTATTTTTAGGTAATTTTCATTTTATGGAAACAAATTTGTCTTTTAATTTCAATATAAATAAAAATCATCTCTCAATATATCCACAACCGCAACAGTCCATATTTATTGCAATTAAAATAACTTAAGTGACACATTCCATATATGAAATAAACATGATATATCACGCATTAAATTGGTTGATGTCCTATCATAATAGTTATTTGTATTCTTTTAAAAAATGAATGATGTGCTTAATTTTCAATAAATAAATATTTAAAATTGTAGTCCTTCTTGATGCACGGGATTTCACAATAAATAATATAATCATTTTTAACGGTCATTTCTATTGAAATTATATTCTTTTTAGTGTTCTAAAATATTTATAACGTAATTTGTCGCGTTTTGGCTCTTATACTATGCAGCGTAAATAGAATTCGTCTTGCGTAAGCTATTAGAGTATAAAATTTTATTTGTTATAAATATCAAATATTTGCATATAGTAAAATTGTGTTGTTAATTTAAAAATTATTTTAATAATATTATATGATACTAAATTTTTGAATAAAATAACAGGTGAGTAATATGATTAATGAAAAGAGGGCGGTTTTATTTTGACATGAAATGTCCAAATTTAAATGATATAAATTCCATTTGATATGGATAAAAGTGTATTTAATTTTGAAAATAAAATAAGTGTTTTGAATTTTATTTGGTACGCGTATGAAAGTCGAATTTAGGTTGATTTATTCTATAATCAAGGAGATATAATTCTCAATGTTTAGCATATTTCTATAATAACTCGTCATAAGATATATTAATGAAAATTTTATAAATAACTCCTATATAGACGCATATGCTTCATAAGTTTATTTGACGTAATTATATGCTTTGTATGACACGTGTACATGTTCGATTTTAGGCTTGAGAATTACCATAAACTATTTTTAGTTTTTTTTTTCAAGTTACCAGTTACTACTCTTACTATTTCTTATTTAATTCATATAATAATTTCTATAATAAATATGTGTTTTTTTATTTTTAATTTTTTAATATTTTTTTTTAATTTTATTTATTTTTTGTATGTTATATCTCAAAATAATCATATTTTATTGATTTTAGATTTGACATCTATATAGCATATATAAAGTAAAAAATAATTACATCTATCATTATAAATAAAACTATATTTATTAAAAAATAATTTCAAAAATATGAATACAACATAAATTATTTTATAGCAAATATAATAAAAATCTAATTCAATAATACACCGTAAAACAATCATTTTAATGCGTTTTATCATAGATTTTAAATAAATAAAAAAAACAAGAAAAATAAGTGCAAAATACGGACTGCATTTTGAATTAATTATTACTTTTTAGTTATTCATTATTTTTTTATATTCGTTATCCATAATTTTACAATATATAAAGAAATTATTTTAGTTTTTTCTATTGTACAAATATTAATATATTTACGTACCCGTATAGTACACGGGTATCGTACTAGTGAATATATATTCCTCTTAAAAATTAGATAGATATTTGAGTAAATATTTTTTAATAAAATTTAAAATATATAATTTAATTTTAGAGAGTTAGTTGATAAATTTAAACAATAAAAGTATAAATTTATAGATTTAGTATATATATATATATTAATATGAAATAAAGATTAGTAAAATATAAATTCTTTTATTTGGATAGTTTATACAAAATAAAGAATATTAATTAATAAAAAAGTAAGAAAAATTAGTAGTAATAAGAGAGATAAATAGTAGAAAGATGATAAAAAATAAATAATAAAAAAATAAATGGAAAGAGAGGAAAAATATTAAAAAATTATAAAGATTGTAGTGGGAAGAAAGAGAAATGATAAAATAATATGTAAAGTGGAAGTTAAGTGGGGTGATGTCATTTGTATATTTATTTTTGATTTATTTAAAGAGGGGGAGTTAAGTGGAAGAATAATAGAGGAATGGGAGTGCAGTGGAAATTATTTTGTACGGGGACTGACAAGGAAGTTTAAAAAAGGATTGGGGATTTATTTGGAAGTCTCCCTTATTCGAACACTATTTAACAGTTTCCTTTTTTTTTTTTTTTTTTTT